TTTATCTCCAAGTGCAGGAGTAAACAGACAATCAGAAGGGAGGTGTACCCTGGCAAGCCATAGGGAAATGACCTTGGCAAAATAACTACAGGTGACAGGCTGGGCCCAGGGAGGGCCACCTGCCTTCCTGGAACTTACTCTAGGGCAAGGGGTGGGAAGAGGCTGATACCTCATCCACTAGCAGGGAGGGAGAGGGTGTGAGTCCTGCTGAGCCATCCTGACTGCCCTTCCCTCCTTGGGAGCAGCTGAACATCTCTGCTGGACCATACTCGGGCATGGCAGGTCGGGGCCAGCGTAGGGAAGCCCAAGGCATGGGGTGGTGGTAGCTGCTTATTGTGTGTATCAGTGTGTTGACTCCAAAAAGTGCTGGCTGGAGTAGATAAATGATGGGAAAGGCTGTATGTTATTTCCTGCTTATGTGATAAAATCTAGCCACTACAGGCATGCCCTGAGAGATGAAACTTAAAAGCTGTTTCCATGGGGTGAGGATATGGCTTTTCTGAGGTTTGCAGGGGCTCTGGTGGTACTGTGCTTCTGGAGTAGCAGAGGAGAGGGTCCATCGGTGTTCACTCCTCAGGAAAGCAGTCCTCCATCCTGCCCTGCTCCTGCCCCCTTCACCTCCATGCATTTCAGCTGATCCTGCAGCCTGGGGTTGGGGTGGCACTTGCAGAGCAACTTTATGGAGGTGCAGAAGTGCAGTGAGATGAGAGGAGCAAACTGGGAGCGGTTGCCTTTGTCCCAGAGCATCAACCACTGGGGAAACTGAGGCAGAGACAGCAGCTGGCTGGGAGGACTGCTGTAATCATGGGAAGGGTCACAAGCTGCTCTCAGCACCATAGGCAAAGCTTTCTCTGTCCCCAGAATGAAGGCTTGGGGCTGGGTGCCTCCTGCCATGGGAAAGGAGGAGCAGGGCAGGGCACAGGGAGCGTTGTCCATGCCCAGCCGCAGCCCTATGACCTCCGCAGCTCCTGCTCCCTAGACCTGTTGGAAGCATGCATGCAGCAGCACGGATCCTTTCTCGTGCCTGCCTAATGTGTGTTTAAGGTGTTCTCTTGACCCATGATTTCACTTGCAGTAAAGGTGCTACCGCCCAGCTCTGCCTGAGTATCCTGTATTGGGATTCTCCCGCCAGTTCCTGGCTCTGGCATGTGGCAGCAATGCTGCTGCCAGTGCATCCAGGGTGGTGTGACAGCACAGGGCTGGGATGGCTTCTGCAGGTAGCAAACACGTAACCCGAGTGATGGGCTTTCAGGCAACCAATTCAAAGCTTTTCACCAACAGCAAAAAAGGGCCTTGATCTTCTTTTTTTTTATTGAGCACTGGACTCTTGTGCTCAGGGAGATATGTGACAACGTGTAGCTTTAATGAGGGGCTCATCCAGCCCTTTTTCAGCCAATGCCATGCTTTTAAAAATCATCAGTCATGCGAATGGCTTGAAAAAAAAATTCTGATGCACATTGTTTACTCGTGCAGCAGCGCACAGTTTCCTCCTTCAGCTGCTGTGCATGCTTGTGCTGAAATGAGTTCTGATCTGTTGCTCACTGCTGGTTCAGGAATATGGTTGTCAAATTACATGCCATTTATGTGTGCCGATGTGGCAGTATGCCTTGAGGATGGGGTGAGTTGTCTTCTGTTTGTTGTTGGGTTTTTTTTTTTTTATCTTTACAGGTGACCATAATCATCTGTGGATGGCAGAGATCATCTGCCCCATGAGAGCAGGCAAAGCGCAGGACCTGCTGCCTCAGAGCCTGCAATAAATGCGATCCTCAAATAACCACATGTTTCCAGGGTAGCAGGGCTTTAGAGGGAACAGCAAACATTGTGAGACTGGCAATCAAATTGCAAGAGTTGATTTCCCTGTATTCTTAGGGTAAAATAATTCTGATTTATTTGGATTCATTAATTCATTATTTAGATGTTTTCTGCTTAGTGAATCAGGGAGAAATGACATTTTGCAGGGAAAAAAAAAAAGAAAATTATAGCAGAGGTGCATTGAGTCATTTCTGTTGAAGATGAGAATTGCAGGTTGCTCCTTAAAAAGTGACCTTTTGATTTTTACCGTCACCTGTAGGCGGCTGGGCAGGATTTGGGAGGGGGCGAGAGCCCTGGCAGCACTCCCTGCCAGCAGCATACTTGGTCTTGGTGGCTGAGTCCCAACATGTTGAAACAAGAACTGGCTTAAAAACCAGGATTTTCAGTGCACAGGACATGTCTTATCCATGTCAATCGAGGAACACTGTGGTTTCAAAGTCTGCATGAGCCTCGTGTCACCGCTTTTTTGGCACGGCCATCGCAGAGGTGAAAAAGCCAACAAAAGCTGCAGACCAGGCCACATTCATTCTGCGATTTGCTGCCTGCCAGAGGTTCACCACGTCCCCCATACCAAACTGAATTAATGATTTGTATGCAGGCAGAGCACCAGATGATTGCAGTGAATAATTCTCTTTGTAAGCAATGTTTTAGTGCATGAGCAGTGAGATTTTTTTTCTTTTTTTTCCCCCAAGAGGTGACTGAAAAGCATCCTTGACTTTAATTTTATTTTCAGCACTTGCAGGGGCTGGGGGAGCAGGTGAGTGGCTGCCTTGGCCCTGCTGCCTTTCCTGCTGCTTGCAGGGAGGCTTTCCCCTGGGCAGGAGAGGGGAGCTCCCTCTGCCATTCAGCCTTTTGCCCCTGCACCCCTAAATCTGCCCTGGTATCGTGTTGGCCTGGGTCAGGAGGACAGTCAGCTGGTGATGACGGTGGCATGATGCCGGGGAAATCCTGGTCCGGGGTGAGTGGAGGAGGTGTGGGGCTGGTGGGAGGAGGGATGAAGTTACAGGGGGAGAATCTGGGCTTTGGTTTTTGGGAAGCTGAGAAGAGGCATGGCCTGGTCTGTGCCTGGGGCTGCAGACCCAGCAGTAACACAGCCAGCACCATGCCGTGCTCTCCCGCACATCCCGGCAGCGAGTGCAGACCCAGGCCCTGCTATGGCCAGGGTTGATCCCATCAGCAGAGCAGATGGAGCTCATGGCTGGGTGAAAGCAAAGGGGCAGAATTTAATCCAGGATATAATATACTGTAATAATGTTTTCAGTGCTTTGATTCACATTTCTTTTCTTTTTTGTTTTCGTATTCTAAGCAGCCTGAATTGAAGTGCCACCAAGCTGCCCCGTCCTTGGTCAGGCCTTTCCTGCAGCAGCTGAGCTGACCATGAGCAGCAGAGCTCCCGAGGGCTCACCGGAGCTGGGCTTATCCCACACAGACAGGCCCAGACAAGCTCCATACCTAGATGAACACATCTTTATTTTCATTTCCACAAATACACATCTAAACTGTCCATATCTCGCCTGGACACGTCACCTAAACCACTGCTCCTTTCCAGTTGCCCTTCTCGCCCCACCATGGGACGTGCGTTCCCTCTGCACGCTTGTACGAGGCCATTAGAGGGCATTTGGGTTTCATTTTTCAATCACGCAGAAGGATTATCGCTGTGAGAAAGTAAAGTCAGAGCTGCCGAGCAGCTGTCCTGCGCCGACTCTTGCATAGCTGGAGCAGCTCCAGCCTGTCAGGAGATGGCCCCGACTCATCTGTGTGATTTGTTTTCTCTTTTTCCTGCTTTTCTTTTGGGCTCGGCTCGCGGGGTATGTGCTTGGATGGCAGGCGGTATGTCTAGTACTGCGGAGCAGCGTCTCCGGCGTCTGAGCTCCTCGCTCGCTGAAGCCCTGCCAAACCGCCAGCGCTTTGGGGAGGAGGAGGCCAGGCGGGGCAGGAAGGTTTGTGTTTATTCTGGAGGGATGTGGGGAAGGTAAATTAGAGCTGCCATCAAGAGGACGCCTCTGCCCATGCCCAGGAAGGCAGCTGCTGGGTCACGGGGTGGATATTGTGGGATGGCTGAGCTCGTGCATGGCCGAGCTGTGCAGCCTGGTGCAGTGGTGACTTGTGGTGCATGGCCTGATGTACCTACTCCTTCCCCGGAGGGCCAGGGCATGAGGGGGTCATGCTGGGGATTTGGGCTTTCCAGTGCTGGAGATGGTCTCTCTCGCAGCCCCTGCAGAGCAGAGCTGCATGCGTGACATGGCAAAGGAGCAGCATCACCTCTCCAAAAGCCCCACCAATCTGGGAAAGGACCAATTCCCAGTTTCTCAGATGGGTTCATGGTCATGGCAGGGTTTCCCCATTTCTTATTACATTCAGCCTAAGAAGCTCAGGGATGCTGCCCAGTAACCCTGCCTGGGGCAGCAGGATGCACAGAGGGGGCAGGTGCTGTGTGGCATGGGGATCTTGTTCTCTATTTCCACCCTCCTTTGCAGCCAAAGTCCATCAGTTCTTCCCCAGTTTCCCAAGGGACGCGTCCTCCTTCTCCACCAAAACCACAGTGCTGTGGGCTTGCACCAGACTCTTTGCTGGGATGAGGCATTGGCTCCAGGATGTGACCAGGGTGGGCACAGCTACAGATTACCTCTTCTTCCCCTCTGGAAAGGCAAAGCAGAGAGTGATGGAGAGATGGAGTGGGGTGGTGGCGTGTCCCCCATGTCTAGGGAGCAGGGGCATGTGGCAGAGCAGGTGCCTGGCCCTGGAAAGTTCCAGCTGCATGCGAGCAAGGCAGTTTTGCACCATGTCTGCACAGGGGCTGTGCCAGGCTAATTAAAAGGGTGGCAGAGCCCTGCCACTCGGGTGTACCCAGGGAGCCAGGCAGGAGCTGCAGATGTATCTCCAGCAATAGGGGCAGGTTGAGCCCACCTGTGTGGCTCAGGGTTATGTGGGATTCATGGTGCTTTTGGATTCAGACATCCAGAGACCTCAAAATTCAGGGCTGCACCTGCTATCAGATAGCTGTTTTCCAAGCACATTTTCAGGAGACGGTTTATCTGTCCCTGAGACACAGTCAGCTCATGGCTGGGGAGGGGTGATGGGGTGCCCACAGGTAACTGGGGGTCCCATGGCTTGTGCTGGCTGGCATTTCCCTTTCTCCATCAAACCTATTGCCCAGAGGCACCAGCTTCACCGAGGCCCTCACTTACTGCTGGGGATGCTGCCGGCAGAGCCAGGCAGGGTCTGGCCATGCAGAGCCGCCTCTGAGTCTCCAGCCTGCAGTAGTGGTTCTGGTTGGACACGCGGGTAGAAAAGCCCAAGCCACAGGTGGCCGAGCAGGTGCTCCACTCCGTGGTCCACTCCTGGCAGGGGTACGGCAGCAGTGGGGATGCTGCCCCAGGGGCTGGATGAAAAAGAGATGAGGGGAAAAAGGATGGTTGGAGCTAGGCACTGTGCAGCATGTCCTCCCGGTCCTGTGGGCATAGCCCTGTATGATGGGGAAATGAAGTGTCTCCTGTTGATGTTTGTGGTCTAGGGTGAAGGGACCGTCCCTAGAGACCTGCGTGGGCATCCCCTTGCTGGCATGTCCTGCATCTTACCTGCCCCAGCATCCCGGAGGAGGTGCTGGTCCCGGGCTTCACAGATCCACTCTGGGCAGCACTTGCCTGGGACCTCCACGCGCCGTGGGTAGGGGCAGTCTGGGGTGGGCAGCCGGACATCCTCCTGGCAGAGCGGGATACAGGTGAAGCCCCCATCCAGGCAGCGGCAGTGGAGTTTGCAGCTGGGTTGGAAAACCTCCCCATCTCGATAGACTCGGCCATTCACCTCACAGCCCTCATTGCTGTCTTCAACTGCAAGCAACATCCAAGAAGCCCGTTAGGGACAAAGTGACAGAGAGATGTGGATGGCAGAGGGGACTGCTGGGGGAAACCATGGGGCTGGCACGAAGGCACTGAATTGGGGGGCCACAGAAGTGACAGAAGGGTGTGTGAGGCAGACATGGGTTTGCAGCAGCATGTGCATCACCCAGCCTCCTCCTCTTCCCTACCTTCTCTCCTCATCAATCTGCATTTTCAAAGCAGCAGCTCACCAGTTGGTGAGAAACCCTTTGGCTCTGACCCTGCCTTTCAGGATTTTCAGGCTAGAAAAAGTTTCTCTGAAATTTCTATTCAGGACCCCCAGGCTCCAGCCCTGGCAGGGTGACTGCAGCATCCTTGGGACACCTGTGTCCATCCCCACCCAAACCACCCCAAAACCCGAGTTGGCAAACAGCATGAGAGGTGGCCGGAGCTGCAGCACAGCCCCGCAGCCAAGCTGTGTGCCTCAACCCCAGTTAAGCTGCTTTCGGAGCCTTAACAGCTTCCCTAAAAGTGGTGAGGGATGCCTGGAGCTGGCTGGAGCCCTGGCCGGAGCTGGGGTGGGTGCTGGGCTGGGAGCACGGGGACATCCCCAGCGGGGAGTGGGCACCCCTGTGCTCACAGTTGCAGGTGGCTCCTGTCCCTGCGGACGCCGCGCTGTAGTCACAGACAAGGCCCTGGCTTTGGTCACAGATGTGGAGGAAGTCACAGGGCTCTCCCAGGCGCCGGGCGCAGATCTTGCAGCAGCCACAGCCATCCAGTACCAGGGGGGACCCGCGGGGGCAGCGGGGTGGAATCCAGGGGCAGTAGCATGGTCTCCGGCACAGCTGGGCACACACCTGCGGAGACAAAGCCATTGCTGACTCAATACAGGTTGTTTTTTTGCTAACGGCTGCTATTTCACTAGGACAGCCAGGTAATCCTCTCTCAATCATGGGGGCAGATTTTACGTGGAGGGAGGCTCTGAAAATCCATGGGAGTACAGCGAAGCAGCCTGGGAAGCTGTTGTCCTCTAAAAGCACAGCATGATGGGCACCCATGGAAAACAGGGAGAATCAGGGATGCACAGCACTCTGCAGGATGGGAACTTAAATGCACCATTGCTCTGAATACAAAGGAGGGGGATGGAGTTGCAAAGCGAACATCCCAGGTAGTGGTGGCCATTTAAACGGGGCTGGCAGCCCCAGAGGCAGCTGCACACTGCCCTAAGCAGCCCAGCGGGAGGGAGGGGAAAGCAGCCTGGCCCCATGCATGCTGCTGGGGTAGCTGGAGGCGCCCAGCTGGAAACGTGGCTTCACAGGCGCTGAATGCACATGGTGAGGGCACAGCACCTCACTCTGAACAGTCTTAACAGCTCTTTCATGCCAAGAATTACACAAGGGCATTGTGTTGGCAGTGGGGGAGCTGAAGCCAAAGGAACCTCACTGCTTTCCTTCCTGGTCCAGCTGCCTCCTCTGCCTGGCCTGGCCTGCTGGGTGAGGAGCCCTGAGATAGGCATGTTTTTGAGGACTGGGAGTTACATTTCCCCTCCCAGCTAGACTGAACAAGTACTTCGGCAGAGCTGTGCACCACAGTTGTTTGCCTGCTCAGCCGGTTGTTTGCCAGGGCTGTGCCTGCAGGACTTCACCCAGGCAGGTAGGTATATATCCACAGCTCATTCTGCTTGCACAATTACCCTGGCACAAACAACTTTTGCTGGCAGTGCTCATGCTCCCATCATGTTGTATCTGACAGGGCTGTTGCATATAGGGTCTGAAGCCAAGTCAGTTGGCTCTAGAGTTTGTAAGTGAATTTTTTGCCAGTATTGGCCTAACTGTGCATGTGTATGAGCCCCATACAGCAGCTCTGAGCCACCCTCTGACAGCCCTGCCACTCTGCTTGCCACACGGCCAGCACGCGCAACACAGGTAGCAGTTCAGCAAATGTGCAACCAAAAAATTCACCTGTGCTGGTCCAGACACTGGTGTCTCTGCTGAGACTGCCGAAAGATCGATGGGTTCAGCTGGTCTCTGTGGATTTTAGATACCCTTTTTCTTTCTCTTTTAGTTTCTCCCAGTAGCATCAGGTCTGACATGACCAGTTAGATGGAGAAGGTGGGTACTGGTGTGCTATCTGTTCCCTATTTGCAGCAGTTCAGATGTTTTTTATGGGCCTGTAGAAATGTCAGTGCTAGGAGATAAAATATATCCAAAATGGGCTGGGCAATCTGGGTCTTTTTCTAGTTTTATCGGTGAGCAGCATTATTAGTGTGGCAGAAACCAGAGCGAGTCTCATGGCAGGGACTGAAAGACTGGCTGTGGTGGCCACGTTTGGGCTGGAGGCACGAGGGCTCTTGGTGATTCTCCAGGCACTCCTGAATTCTCATGAGCATGCTCTATGCTGGGTAAAAAACTGGCTGGATGGCAAGGCCCAAAGATTGTGGTGAATGGAGTTAAATCCAGTTGGTGGCCGGTCATAAGTGGTGTTCCCCAGGGCTCAGTATTGGGGCCAGTTCTGTTTACTCTCTTTATCAATGATCTGGACGAGGGGATCAAGTGCACCCTCACTAAGTTTGCAGGTGACACCAAGTTGGGTGGGAGTATCAATCTGCTCGAGGGTAGGAAGGCTCTACGGAGGGATCTGGACAGGCTGGACTGGTGGGCCGAGGCCAACTGTATGAGGTTCAACAAGGCCAAGTGCTGGGTCCTGCACTTGGGTCACAACAACCCCATGCAACGCTACAGGCTTGGGGAAGAGTGGCTCGAAAGCTGCCTGGCCAAAAAGGACCTGGGGCTGTTGGTCAACAGCTGGCTGAACAGGAGCCAGCAGTGTGCCCAGGTGGCCAAGAAGGCCAACAGCATCCTGGCTTGTATCAGGAATAGTGTGGCCAGCAGGAGCAGGGAGGTGATTGTCCCCCTGTACTTGGCACCGGTGAGGCCGCACCTGGAATACTGTGTTGAGTTTTGGGCCCCTCAAGAAGGACATTGAGGTGCTGGAGCGTGTCTAGAGAAGGGGAACGAAGCTGGTGAAGGAGCGCAGGTCTTATGAGGAGCGGCTGAGGGAACTGGAGTTGTTTAGCCTGGAGAAAAGGAGGCTCAGGGGAGACCTGAAAGGAGGCTGTAGCAAGGTGGGTGTTGGCCTCTTCAGCGCAGGTCTTATGAGGAGCGGCTGAGGGAACTGGAGTTGTTTAGCCTGGAGAAAAGGAGGCTCAGGGGAGACCTGAAAGGAGGCTGTAGCAAGGTGGGTGTTGGCCTCTTCTCCTAAGTAACAAGTGATAGGATGAGAGGAAATGGCCTCAAGTTGCACCAGGGGAGGTTTAGATTGGATATTAGCAAAAATTTCTTCATGGAAAGGGTTGTCAAGCACTGGAACAGGCTGCCCAGGGAAGTGGTTGAGTCCCCATCCCTGGAGGTATTTAAAAGATGTGTAGATGTGGCACTTACAGGGACATGGTTTAGTGGTGGACTTGATAGTGTTAGGTTAACAGTTGGACTTGATGATCTTAAAGGTCTTTTCCAACATAAATGATTCTATGATTCTATGAGCACCTGGGGCAGGAGTCATTTCTCTATCACAGCTTACCCAGGCAGCCAAGGGCATTTTTCATCTTTCAGGAGGTTGCTATTACAAATCAATGTTTTAGAAAGATTAGCCAAGCCAACTCCATTAATCCATTTCCCCCCTTCTCCTTGTAATTAACTTGTCTTTAGATGACAACGTGGCTCCTCTCAGACATCTTAACTGTCTGGGAAAGGAGTCAAATAGGCACGATGCTGCCATGATGTCCCTGCTTGCAGAAGGTCTGCCTTGGGATTCAAGCAGCAATTAGAAGAACTTGGAGCTGAGATACCCCAAACTTTTCAGCTTTCCTGTTCTCTGTACAGGCAACTATTTTCACACAGAGTCCAAAAGGGAAAAAAAAAAAAATCACTACAACAACCCAGATCCTGTCAGAGGCACTGGCTTTGCATGAGCGTCCCAGGGAGTGGGGAGAGCTGAGTAATGCTGAGGCTGGTGCTCGCTGCTTGGCCCCCTGCCTTGGGAGCCTGGGCAGGGACCAAGGAGTCTGCAGGAGCCGCTACTGCTGAGCTGCCGCTCGCTTGCAGGGTCGCATACCGCAGCCCCGGGTGCGGGAGAGCTGCAGGGACGGACAAGCAAACAGAGCGCATTGCTGTCATTCCTGCATGCTCCATGGACTTGCACAACAGATACCTTTGGCCTGTGGATGTTAAGACCCTCCTGCTTAATTGCAAATGTCTCTCCCAAGCATAGCTCTGCCCCTGTGGGACTGCATAAATACAGCCTGTCTGCCAGCCAGTGTTAGCCACCGGGCTCGTTGTAACACCCCAGTCCTCCCTGCATCTCACTTTGCAAGAACCGGGTGCTTCCCCAGCTAAGGCTAAAGCTGCCCCAGGGCCCCATCTCTCTTACCTTGGCGAGGATGCAGAGGAGGGAGAGGAAGAAGAGCTGCTTCTCCAGCTGGAGCCTCATGCTGCTCTCCCCTCCGCTACTTCAGCACATCACCCCCCAGGCAGTTTGGAGGCAGCGGTGTGTTTGCAGGTTTTAAAGCCCCGAGTAGGTTCTTCTGGTGTTTATACTCTCCCTGCTCTGATGTCACTCACAGGCTCCAATATAAACATGAGTAGGTTTGGACAAGCCTCAACATTTTTTTTTCCCTTTATTTTTCCCCTCCCACATTCCAGCTGCCATTTCCACTCCCCTCAAGGTGAGAATGTGCTGTCCACCAAGACAGCGAGTGAAGGGAAGGGACAATCCCCCTGGGAAGCACAGGAGAGGGGCTGGGGAGCCAGGCTGGTGGAGTGAACCAGCTCCTTGCTGCTAGTCATGACCAGAAGGGAAGGTCCATGCCTCTGCCTACTGATCAAGGTCTGCCCAGACAGAGCTGGTGTCTTTCTCCTGGGTTTTGAGGGGTTTGGCGGGGCTGTCCCTGCTGCCACCCTGGGACATTGCCACGACCAAGCAGGAACAGGGCACCCACCCCTATATTTTATGCTGAGTGCAGTGCATGGGAAAGGAGTGAGTTGTCCATGTTGTACAGAGCCCTAAAGTCAAGGGCAGGATCCTGTCCCTCCGTCGCTGGGGACAGTGTGTGACTTACTTTTGATTTCCAGCAACTCAGGCTGCTGTGTGTGTCAGGCAAGCTCTCCAGGCAGTAGAGGTGTGATTCCCTTCTCAGTTTCTCTGGCACAGCAAGAGCAGGAAAGAGATTTGCTGCGGTGGTGGTGCTGCCACAGCATCCCCTGTCCGGCGTGGGGCTGCGGCTGCCCAGGGAGGCTGCTGGGACAGGGCGGGGTTGGATGCACATCATGTTGCATTGCCCCGGGGCTGGTACCTGATGCAGAGGGCTGCAGTCTGGCCCTTGCAGAAGCACTGCTGATTTCAAACCTTGTAAACCCCAATTCAGCTCCTGAAAAATTATGACCAGCTTAAGCAACCATGAGAATTTAAAATCCAGTTTTGAGGAAGAGGAGCAGGTGCTCAGCGTTTGCCTCCCAATGCTCTACTGCTTTTCAGTCTGCCCTGTGCAAGCTTTCATTACAGCCACTGTGTCTGGGGACTTGAGGCTGACTCTTAAGAAAGAAAATACTAAACATCTCAAGACCTCCAGGAAACTAAGCCCCTTCTCCACGTTCCCATCCCCCAGATCTTATCACAAGATGTAAGAAGGGGAATTTGTGAATCCAGAGCTCAAAGGAAAGGCCTGAGCTCACATCAAGATGCGAGGTGCCCTGCAGCTCTCCCCAGCCCCTCTGCTGCACCCCCTTGCTTGCAGGACATGGTCTGCGGGCCAGGAGTGCTGCTTCTGCCCTGGTCCAAGGGATGGATCCTGGCAACTGCACACAGACTCTCTGTGTCTTGCAGGCATGATGAGAACTGCTGCTATATATCGAATATTATGATATATGTTGGCAAACACACAGGAGGAGCTGGGTGCTGTATAAGCACAGCGCTGAAATTATGCAACTAGGAGTGATGCCCCATCCATCTCTCCAGCCTTTTTTCCCTTCATTTTGCTTTTGCGAAACAGGTCCTCAGTCACCCGAGCAGCAATCCCAACCTCAGCTGCACTGCTTGCCATAGCCTGGAAGCCAGGGCAGCCACGGAGCAGGGAGGGCAGAGCCCAGCAGGGAGGAGCACGCACGCAGAGCTCTCCTGTTACCACCCTGACTCTCCACTTTGGTTTTGCTTCGTTAGCTGCAATCAGTCTGTTAACGAGGTCATGGCAGCTTATGGAAATACCAGGCCACCTTCCAAAGGCTGTTGTCACTTATCCCGGTGCTGGAGTCTTCGCTCCTTGCAGAGGAGCCCCAGCTCCCTGCATCACCCAAGCCCTGCCCGCAGGCAACCCTGCCTGTCCATGCATTGCTCCGTCCTCTCTGGCAGGGGTTCAGGCCCTGCTGACGGGTGCTCACAAGCCAGAATGTTTGATGACAAAGGCTGGAGGCATATCTCATGCTGCTCTTTTCTCCTCTGTCCCCTGGAGCTGATGCCCTCCCACCGCCTGCCGTGTTTCAGATGCCGCAGCTCAGCCAGCCATCCCAAGGGTGGCTGTGGTGCCTCTATCAGCAATGGTCGCAGAGGAGCCAAAATGCTGATCCAGCATTTCTGCAGGGGGACAGGGAGTTCAATTCCAGGCTTGTGTTTATTAGGGACTCCTGATTAATGGGCTTGACTTAATTTCCCAGATGGAAATCAGGTAAGGGAAATAAAAACCTCTCATCACCCACAGTGAGCAGCTTTGGGAGCAGCCAACACCCCTGTGCGTGAGGCAACAGGGCACCCCCCAGGGGGGCTGGGGCTGCCTGGGAAGCCCACTGCCTGCCCTCTCCTGGGTACAGGTTCAGCTCTTTGGGGTGGGGACACCCTCCTTACCCTCTCTCTCAGCTTGGAGCAAGAGGGGGCATTGCTTCCCCCCCCAATGTCACTGAGATTTTGCTGCAGTAAGGTGACATCACTGTGATGGTATGACATCACTAGGAAGCTAGCAGAACTCAGGCAGCAACAGAGAACCGCAGCACCGAGTTAAGCAGCTGGACAGGCGCCAAACCCACTGCCCTGCGCCCAGCCAGCTGCCCATACATCAGCAATCCCTGGTGGTACCTTGCTGTGTTTTGGGGGTGCCCAGAGGAGCCGGCTGAAGGGGTGGACCCACAAAGTCTACTGCAACTGCCTTCCTGAGGAGGCTTTTCTGCAGGTGACATGGGCTTGAGCTTCCCTTCTCCCAGCTCTCGGGGTCCCACATGCCCACCCAGGTCACCGTGCTGGGAGGCCAGGGGCTGCAGGCAGGGCCCAGCAAAGCGATATGGCCCTTGTGCAGGTTTTGATTTGCAAACCTGCACAAGAGCAGCACATTAGCAGTTCATTTTATAAATACTCATAACCCTTCTCCTCTGGAAGGGGAATGTACCCCATATGTGTTCTGTACCGTATGTGTGATTTCATAGCTAGTAATTAAGTCCATATGTTGTGCTCTGCAGTTTCCATGGTATTACTGTCAGGAGTTTTTGGGGTTGTAATTTTTTTTTGTGGTCAGTTGTGCAAGAAAATAGTTGATACAGGGATCTGAATACATCTCCTTTGAGTTAGCCGCTGGCAAGCTCTGCTGTTTCTATAGAAATGAAGGAACTGACCCAGTGAATTTACATTTTAGACAGCTGGTTTTTTTCATGTCTGTGCCATTTAACGTGCCATCATGAATAACACTGCAAAGCTCTTATTTGTGTACCCTGCTCAGCTGAAATTGCATCCATCTGTGATGGATATAGACCATATTCTCCTTCTATCCCTTTCCTTTGTTTGAGAATCTCCCCTTCTTTAGTCTACGCCATGTGTTCAACACCCTCCCTAGAGCTGGCCGAAGTCAGACCAGGGTCTGGATGTCCATATCTGCCAAGGAGCACCTAGGCTGTCCTGGGTCCTTGCTGGGTCTGTTCTTCTTCATATCAACAGTGAAATCATGGCTTTAGGGTGAGAACAGCTCCATACCTTGGTGGGGAGGACATTCCCTTTGCTTCTGGGCACTCCTGGCTCAAATCCCTGCTGCAGAGGAGCAGGGCTGTCCACGGAGGGTGGGCAGCACTGGTGGGAAAGCTGGACCAACACCCAGCTTGGAAAAGCCAAGAGCCCTGAGATGAAAAGGAGACATCTCAGGTCTCCCTCAGCTGTTGGACACTTTGGGGTGGCTGCTGGCTGTTTTTCATGAGACTTCTGGAAACACCCCAGCTTTGGGAAACTTTGAAATACCTTAGTTTTTGGCAGGATGGGAAAGTTGTTTCCTACCCAGAATGAATCCGGCTCCAGTTTCAAACAGCTGAGAGAGGTGGTGATGGCCATTTCCATCCCTGTCTGGCCATTTTTATTCCCTCTGGTTCTTGCAACTTACATGGAGAGTGTAGGCAGGCTGGGAGCACTGGTCACCCTGAGGGATAAGGGAGAGGCCAGGCAACCTTTTGCCTTGAGGTCACTGCTTCCACCCCAGACCCAGGCTGAGAGAGACTGAAAGTATTTACCATCTGGTGCCTGTCCAAGTGACTTGCAAGAAAAGAATTCAGGGCTGCCGTCCAGTTTGTGATGGTCAGGCAACTACATCAGAAAACCTCAGCTTCATCTGGGACCAAATGACCCTTCCAAGCTCCCAGCCGCCACAGCGAGGCCAGCGAGGGAGCAAGCAACAGCCGGCATTGCTTTCTCCAAAGGAGAAATTGTCTTTTGGGTGGGGAGCAGTGTGTGATGGTGGGGACATTAGATTCTTGACCATTTTCCAGGCATTTTTAAGTAGGTTTCATTAGAAAGAAGTACTGATAAATGGGACTTGGTGCTGGTTCTGGTCTCAAAATCTGACATTGCCAAGAGGAAGGAGCTGAGTGATTACACAGGGAGAAAATGGACTATCACAACCAAGAAAGGGCTTGCTTAGCCAAAACTATAGTGACATCTCATTGTTCAGACTGAGGAGCTTCTCATTAGTACAGCCCAGCCTTGTATCAGCTGTTGTGAAAGGATGCTTTTTCTTAACAGACATATCAAAACCTGGGCAGTAATTCTGTGTGATGATTTTTTTTTTTTTCTGCAGTCCAGACAACCGCAATTCATAATTGTCCCCCTAAATTAAACATTCAGATAACCCAAAGAATAACACTTTTGTAAAACAAAGCCTGGAAACTTCAGCCAGATGAGTCTTTCCATTATTATTTGGAAAACAGTGTCAGAAATCGTCACGTATCAAACATTATGATCCTCTGAGAGTTTTATTTTTGGTATCAAACATCATCAAACATAAACTTCTTTTAAAAAAATCTCACTAGAACTTTTGTCTTTCACACAAGATACAAACCCCAGATCCTGACCTTGTGTGGTTACCAACAGGCCCTTGGTATTTTCCATGGAGCTGCATGGCTAACTCATGTTTCCTGATCAAATTGCTCATTCTTTTTGACTATCTGTGTTTTTCTTGTGGTTTCAGGCTAAAA